GTACATGCCAAAACAATTAATGCATCAATTAGCTAGTCAGCACATGCTTAATTTATATATATATATATATGGAAAACCCATCCTACCACCCGGTGGTAGTTACCCCACATGTCTCATATACTAGCATGTGGTACTATATATACTATTTTATTATATTAAATATGTTCTTATACTATATCTAAGATACTTCAAAACAAGTTACATGAAAAATTTGCATATGAGCCCATAGTTTTTGTTATATTTGTGAAATACATACATATTTGTACGTAAAAAAAGAGCATACTCAAAAAATGGTACATACTACCTAAAAATTTGTATATATACTATCTAATCATTGTTATATACTACATACTACACGTACATACTCTCGGTTTCAACAGATACTACATACAACTTACAAAACGCAAGTGGTGGTAACTACCATTGCTTGTAGGAAACATTTGTCCTATATATATATATATATATATATATATATATATATATATATATATATATATATATATATATATATAGACACACACACACACACACATATACATATATATATACCTCGTCGGACTTTGCAACAGCTGATCCCGACTCTGTTCGGTCACCGGAGCCGTCATCACGGTCGCTGGAGCCACCATCACGATCATGACTTTCCTCCTCCATTGTTTTATCACCGTAGCCTGCTTCCTCTCCTTCCAGACCTTCTTTGAGGTCGTTGAGAAACGACACGACATCACGTCCGTCGCGGATTATGTCCCCCAATATTTCTTCCTATTCGATGTCTCTTTGATGATCCATAGTTTCTGCAAATATTACAACATGGAAATTAATATACAAACATGAGAGATGGATATATCAAAGTTATCGGGGAGGGGGTATATCGACAACGACGACATATACATAGAAAAAATGTTATCAGGGAGGAGGATATCGACCCCCCCTCATGTCGAAGTTATCGGAGAGGGGGTATATCGACAACGACGACATATACATAGAAAAAAATGTTATCGGGGAGGGGGTATATCGACCCCCCCCCCTCATGTCGAAGTTATCAAAGAGGGGGTATATCGACCCCTCGGCGACCCTCGACCCTCGACCCTAGCTAGTTCACGACCCTCGACCGCTCGGTGATCCTCGACCCCTCGACGACTCTCGACTCTCGACCCTCGACCCTAGCTAGTTCACGACCCTCGACCGCTCGGCGATCCACGACCATCTACCCTAGTTCCCGACCCTCGACCCCCTCATGTCACGTTTATCTAGTGTCAAAGTATTTAACAAAACCATGTCTTCATTATTAGGCGAAAGTAACAGGCGCATGATGGTACGAAGCTCTCCAAAGTTATCCTGGAAGGGAATCCCACATAGGATAATTCGCTTTTTGGTACAAAGTACAGCAAGAGCCTTTGGAATATCGCTATTTGGAAGGCCTTTGCTGAAATTTGTACCAAAAGGCGGATTATCCTATCCGGGACTCCATTCCAGAATAACTTTGGAGAACTTCATACCATCATGCCTCGGTTACTTCCGGCTAATGATGAAGCCATGGATTTCTTCAATACTTTGACACTAGGCAACCTCTCGACCCCTCCACGATCCTCAACCCTCAACCCTAATTAGTTCAATACCCTCGACCGCTCGGAGATCCACGACCCTCTATACCCTAGTTCCCGACCCTCGACCCCTCATGTCATGTTTGTCTAGTGTCAAAGGATTCAACAAAACCATGTCTTCATCATTAGGCGAAAGTAGCAGGCGCATGATGGTACGAAGCTCTCCAAAGCTATTTTGGAACGGAGTCCTAGATAGGATAATTCGCTTTTTGGTACAAAGTTCAGCAAGAGCCTTCAGAATGTCGCTATTTGGAAGGCCTTTGCTGAAATTCGTACCAAAAGGCAAATTATCCTATCTGGGACTCACATTCCAAAATAACTTTGGAGAACTTTTCGGACCATCATGCCCCAGTTACTTCCGGCTAATGATGAAGCCATGGATTTCTTCAGTACTTTGACACAAGGCAACCTCTCGACCCCTCGGCGATCCTCGACCCTCGACCGCTCAGGTAGGGGCGGGAGGGGGTAGGTGATCGACAACATTTTTTTCTAGGGTTTGGGTGTCCTCGAGAGTTGGTCGAGCGAGAGGGGGTTGATCGACGTCCCCCCCCCCTCGACCCTCGACCCTCTACCCTAGTTCCCGACCCTCGACCGCTCCGCGATCCTCGGAGAATTGGTCGAGCAAGAGGGGGTTGATTGACGCTCGAAGAAGAAGAAATAGAAGAACAAAAAAAAGAGGAGAAGAAGAAAAAATAGAATTATTCTTTTTTTTTCTCCTGTATTCCTTCTTCTTCTCCTATTTTTTCTTCTTCTCCTCTATTCCTTCTTCTTCTTTTTCCTTATTTTCCTTTTTCCTGTCCATTAACCTAAAATTTACTAACCTAAAATGCACTAACAACAACTAACCTAAAATGCACTATAAATCAACTAACCTAAATCAACTAACTCAACATATGAAGAAGGAAATGCTATCGGAGAGGGGGTATATCGACCTCCCCCCTCATGTATCCACATACATACATCTATGGATCATCATTGGAAAAAAATGCATACATCCATGGATCATCATTTCTCATATATATCCGTCTATAGCCACATACATATATAAATGGAAAAAAATGCTATGGAAAAAATACATATATGAAAAAAAATATACTTGGTAAATATTCTATGAACATCATTTCTCATATATATCAATGCATACATCCATGGATCATCATTTCTCATATATCCATAGTCATATATAAAAACTTTCTATATATGAACAAAAAACTTTCTATGAACAAAAAAAACATTTTTGACATATTTAGCGTATTCTAAATTTTCCTAACTCTTTTACAACCAGAAAAATTACTCCAACTTCATGACAGTACCCACACTCCATTTCACCAAAAACCTTCTGACCCATAGTTCAAATTTTTCAAATTTCATTCAAATGAAATTTGAATCGGATTCAAATTACTTTCTGAAAACCTATTCTAAACCACTCCAAAAATTCTCCTCTCCTCTCCTTCTGCTCTTCTTCTCTCCTTCTGTAAAAAAATTCATATAATTCAGAAAAGTGGACAGCGCGTTGCTGCTGCTCCACTCCTTCTCCTCTCCTCTCCTTCTCCTCTCCTTCTGCTCTTCAATGTGTCGGGGTCGGCGGCGACCATGGAGCAGGGGCAGCGCAAGGGGCGCTCGGGCGCAAGAGCGGCGCTCGGGACCATGGGAAAGGGGGGCTCACTTCGAGGGGGGCGGCGATGGCTGGAGTCCGGCAACGAGGACGGCGGGCTCAGGGCGGCACGCGGCGACGGGGACAAGGAGGCGGGCTCGGGGAGGCACGCGACGATTGGGACGACGACGGAGGGCTCGGGGATGCCGGCGACGAGGACGGCGCGGGCTCGGGGAGGCCACAACGTGGTCCGGAGGGCTTGGCGGCGATGAGGACGAGGAGCAGCCTGGCGGCGTCATCGGAGGAGAGGACGAGGAGATCGATTGACCTGAATGAAAATTTCTAAGTGTTTGCTTATATAGACGAAGCATTGGTCCCGGTTCGTGGCACCAACCGGGACCAATGACCCCCTTTAGTTCCGGTTGGTGCCACCGACCGGGACCAAAGGTCTCTTTTCAGCAGGCCAAAGGGCGGGAAACAGAGACCTTTGGTCCCGGTTGGTGGCACGAACTGGGACTAAAGGGTGTCATCCGTCCCGGTTGGTACCACGAACCGGTACCAATGCACCCCTTTAGTCCCGGTTGGTGCCACAAACCGAGACCAAAGGCCTTATGTTGCCTGCGTCGCGGCCAAAAGTTTAGTCCCATCTCGCTAGTTGAGAGAGCTCGAGAGTGGTTTATAAGCGCTGCTGCGCCCACCCTCTCGAGCTCCTCTCAACTACAGGCTTTCGGGCCTAACCTGTCACTGTGTGCCTATGGGCCTACTGCACCTGCTGCGGGCCTGAATCCTGGCCCATGATTGGGTTTCTAGTCGTATTCAAGTCGTGGTGGACCAGTAGGTGGCACTTTTTTTGCTTTATTTATTTTATTTTGTTTCTACTTAATGATGCTATTTTTATTTATTTTATTAAAGTTTATTTATTTTACTTTATTAAAGTTTATTTTGTTTCTACTTATTTATTAAAGTTTATTTTGTTTCTACTTATTTATTAAAGTTTATTTTGTTTCTACTTATTTATTAAAGTTTATTTTGTTTCTACTTATTTATTTTATTTTGTTTCTACTTATTTATTTTCTTTTCTTTTTTTCTTTTTTATTTATTTTATGAAAATTATTTTTGCTTTTAATTTTTTGAACAGAAAATGCTTTGATAATTTTAGTTGCATAAATTTTATATAATTTTAGTTTAATAATACTAGAGATTTATAAAAGCTTTTTGGTTGATCCCTGAAATTGAAAAGCATTTCAAATGAATTCTGAAAAGATTTTATTTTGTTTCTACTTACTGTTCCTATTTTTATTTATTTTATTAAAGTTTGTTTATTTTACTTTATTAAAGTTTATTTTGTTTCTACTTATTTATTAAAGTTTATTTTGTTTCTCCTTATTTATTTTATTTTATTTTTTGCTTTATTTATTTATTTTATGAAAATTCTTTTTGCTTTTAATGTTTTGAACAGGAAATATTTTGATAATTTTAGTTGCATATATTTTATATAATTTTAGTTGCATCTCATTGGTCCGGTTCCTGGATGGAACTGGGACTAAAGGGCAACCTTTGGTCCCGGTTCAAGCCACCAATTGGGACCAAAGGGCCTAGACGAACTGGGACCAATGCCCCCACGAGGCCCGACAGGCCCCCTGTCCTCACGAACCTGGTCCAATGCCTCCATGGGTTCCGGTTCGTGGCTGAACCGGGACTAATGGGCTTATGTGGCCTGAACGTATGCCCTGTTTTCTACTAGTGGGAGCCCTCTGCTCCTCGCCCTGGCTCGAAGGACGCCGCACCGTCGGACGATGAAATGCTCACGTCCCTAGAGCGCAACTGCACACTGACGCCAAGACCCCAAAGGGGCTCAGTTGAACTGTGTTGTGGTGTGTTGTAATACTCCCTCCGTTCGGAATTACTTGTCTCGAAAATGGATGTATCTAGAACTAAAACAAGCCTAGATATATCCATTTCTGCGACAAGTAATTCCGAACGGAGGGAGTATGTTTTGGAGAATTAGCCACACAAGTAGGCAAAAGAGGTAAATAAAGCTCCTACAATAAGCAATCATAAGTTCAGCAAACGAAATTCGCATAAATGGTAATACACGGTAAAGCTAAATGCAGCCTAAATTATTGCTTAGACCGTATCTCAAATCTAAGCAAAAGAAGCTAAATTAAAACGTCCCTTTGCTAACATTAAGTTCGTAGAAACCTTTTGGAGATCTCAATCACCTAATTTCATGTTAGGTCGGGAAGAGAATGATTACAAGGCTTGCAGAAATGACTGGATTTTAACCGTAAAATTATGCCAGATGGGAGGAGGAAAGCAAAACCTGGAGTGAAGGTGAAAGTGTGACTGGACGAGTCCTCCAATCCGTAGTACTGGTAGCCACCAAACCCGTGCCACAGAGCTATCATGTACTTCTTGGCGCCGCTATGCCTCTCCAGCGAGAAGCTCTTCTTGCCCGGACGATTGATGCCAATGTCAGAAGAGATCTCTTGATATGCACATGCACTTTCAAATGCTAATAATTATGCAACAATACCAATTACCAGCTTGCCGCCATCGAGAAGGACGGGGCAGTCGCAGAGGCGGGAGAAGAGCTCCTTATTCGTTTCTCCTTCCCGGCGGCGCTCATCACCGGCAGCACTACACCGCGCGAGGATGTCGGCACAGTCCGCCGGGAGGAAGCTCCCCCAGACCTGGTCGGAGTCGGCAGCCGCCTGGAGCGCGACGGCGGTGGCCGCCAGCCTGCACGCGTCCCCGGGGGAGGTCAGGGACGCGACCAGCGCCAGGCAGTCCGCTGGGAGGTCGCTGATGCCTGTCACCATGGACTAATTTTGCTTTCGTCCATCCTGGAGGGATGATAAAGCGGAATGTAATACGCTTCGCTGGTATAACAACACATGGTGATCATGGTGTTGCCAAGATGACAACATCGCCTGCTCTGCGCACCAACTGAGCTATGGCTGTGGCTGGCAATGGCCGCATAATGACGACATATATTCGTGACGCCAATTTTGTTAGCACCTGACGACATAGTGGACTAGTGTGATACGTGTACTCTTCTATTTTTTTTACTGGCCAAACATAATTTTTAGCCTCGTGGGTGATGGAAGAGAGAGAAAAGGGGACAAAATATGCAACTGCTTGAAAGAAAAATAAAATTGTTGGGTTGTGGCCAGTACACCAAAAACTTAAAATGAAGATGCATAATTTATCACAAATTAAGAGGTAAATTACAACGATACTACTCCCTCCTATTCATATTACTTGTCGCTAGTATAGTACAAAGTTATACTATAGCGCAAAATTACACAAACATGGTGTTAAACTAGCAATTGTCATGTGTTTCATCTGAGGTTGATTTCTCAACGTTTACAAGGCAAAAAAAAATAGCATCACCCGCAAAAAAAAAATAGCACAACCTCACGTGGAGAAATCGATCAAGATTGCAAAAAAAAGGAGTTTTTTCACACGGAGCAACTGTTCGAACAATCTTATTATTCCGAGGACGACAACAACAACAAGACCAAGGGGAGGGATTTGTAGCACGCAGGGGCGGGCGCATGCAACCTCGTTTTCTTCCGGCTTTCGATTTTCAATCTTTCATATATTTTTAACGAAAGGTTCAAATTAAGTTTTGTTTGGGTATTCGTGTTTAATGATGGGGGCTTTAAAATGAAATCCATTTTGACTATGTTTTGATGCGTTTATAAAATTTTGTTAAGTTTCAAGTTCTGAAAATTTGTATGAGCGACCGACAAAATCGTAAGTTTCAGAACTTGCGACCCTAAAATCGTATGTTTCAGAACTTGTGACCGAAAAACTCGGAAGTTTCAGAAACTAGAACTGAAACTTGTTGTGAACTCGTGCGGGATCCAACAACTTTGCGGATCGTCGCCGACGCATCTGTGCAGGTGCGTACCCCTACGAGTTCCGCAAGACCAAACAAGGATAGCCACCATGCACGAACAGGTATGCCTCCACCAGAGAGAGAAAACTGGTGCAACTAGGGCTCCTCCTTAGGGCTTCCACCGATTGTTCCCTCACTTCTAGGTGCCCTCTAGCACCGGCAAGGCGGAGGGAACCCGGTGAGCGGTGTGTCTGCAATCTCTGATTGCCCAATTTTAGTTAGGGACTTAGGGTTAAGACTATGTTTCTATATGGTGGTGGTGAGGCGATGGTGCCATCAGCGGCATCGAATAAGACCTCCCCGTCCTCTCCTCGTTTTTGGGATGTTCTTTGGCATCGGAGGTGGGCATGTGGAGATTTGACACGGAGGCAGATCATGGGCCTCACTTTTATCTTCATTCCGTCAATGTGACCGAGGGCGCGCTATGGAGGCGATGCTGTCATTGTGTTATTTTGTTCTTGAGTTCCTTCTCCACCAGTGAAGCTAAGCTAGATGCACCTCGGTAAGGAACTTGCGAGATTTGAGTCCCCTCCTCTGTCCGGATGGAGTTGAGATTATCTTCTTGCTCTCCTTGGTGTCAGCGTCTCCAAGATTGCGATCAGTCAAAATGTGGTCCTCAGCATCTCTGAGTTACATCGATGACTTCCTGGCTACTGCTTCTTCAAACTTCTGGGTTTCAACAAGATTGCTCCGAGGTAGCAAGGACTTCGGTGATGGCGTGCCATCCTTGAATGCGGAAGGAAGACAGTGTTTATTTGTTTAAGGACTTGTCTGTAATTTCATATTCTTGTGAGAGAGTTCTTATAAGGGCTGGTTTTGGTTTTATCTAATAAATAACCCATATAGAAGCACCTCCACTGTTGACCTAGGACTAACTAGGTTGAGCTAGCTTTATGGCATATTCTGATCAAATGCACATACCATCTGAGGTCATCTTTTTTTCTTAATTAGCTTGAATATCATTTAAATATACGACACGTGAAATGGTTGTCCTTTCAGTTCACTCGCCGGTAAGGATTTTTAAACTATTATTTCACCTAATCCAAAAGAAAACCCGCTCGTCTTTTTTGAGTTGCGTCCAAATATATTTTTGGCTTATTAAGGTGTTTCTTTAAGATCAGATAATTAAAGTCGCTGACAAAAACAAACTTAAACAAAGAGGAGTGCTAGTTCATATTTTCGGCAATAACCACGAGTACACGATTGGGTATAGCACGTAGCCGGAAGGTCGGATGAGAGTGCACATAAAGTTTTTACCCAGGTTCAGTTTTAGGCCCTCACGATGAAGGTAATGCCCTACTCCTTCTTGGATTGAATTGATGGTGTATATGCTCTGCATTAGGGGTTTGATTACAATGGAGAAGATCACAATGATTTTGCAGGTCCTAGCATTTATAGGGATCCTAGTCGTTTACCGATGATTGAAGATCCTCCGAGATTTCGGGAAGCCTTCTTGTGCACCTTGTTGTTGGCGCCTTTCTGGAGGAGGCCTACCAACTGGTAGCAAGCCTGGGTTGCACAACGGCCTGTTGGGTCTGTGAATAACCTGGTGGGCTGATTTTGAGTCTCGGGATGTTTCCCTGGTACATGGTACCATCAAGGAGATTACAATTATGACTATAAGCGAATGCCGAACACACGATGAAACATGCCATCATTGCGTCATCATAGCTCTTGCCGACGATGGACAAAATTGAGTAATCCAACCACTAAAGCTGGTCATTGTGGGGAGTAACTTATACTAGTATCATGCATATGACACTAGTCTAAGTTACTACCCCCATAGTGCAAAGTAACATAGTAGTAGTGTCATAGATAACTTCATTTATTAGCTTGTAGGCTCATCCTTTCTCGGGAAGCACTATGTTATAGGAACATATTAGGATAGTATCATAGCTAGTATCATGCATGCCAACTAGGCAATTTTGATGAGGTGTCATAGCATTAATTGAAGAAAAAGAGGGTGGAGTATCATATCATGTTACTGCATCATAATAAATGTTATGTTACTTTGTGTCATGCATGACAATAAATAAAGTACTACATGATACTAAAATATGATACTATGCATTAGGGAGGTAGTATCATACACTAAAATATGATACTAGTATCTATGATACTAGTATATGATACTCCCAATTACAACCAGCCTTATGTTACTCTAAACACCTCTCTCTTTATTAACTACATGCTACATAATCAAAAAAAATTGCAGTGCGCTATGTTACTATCTAAGTTACTCCCACTATGACTAGCCATACTTGCGGTGACATGCAAGATGCAACATAATAGACTGCCACATATGACAGAGACTGGCAATCACTCCAAAAATATCGGTAGGGCATCACCCTGATCAAGGCATTTAATTGTGGTTTTAATTCATGTAAGTAATGGCAAGCCAATGTGTCTGTTTCCCTTGTTTTTTACTATCCCCACTTTTTTCTGTATAATGTTTGTGTACAATGAAATCGAGTCTATTCGAATCACTATATATTTTTTTCCATAGAACCACCAAATATATACAGCATAGACGCACACATGTACTTCACTAGATTCTTTCACAAAGTTGGCCGAGCTTTATGAAGTTACAATTCTAATGTGCCAAGTACAAAGAACACAAGGGAGTGCACACTCACAGGACATCTACTGAAGACTAAACCATGTGGGACGACAAATCTAAAGTTTTGATCAACTCAGCTTCTTTCTCCTTTTCAAAAAACTCAGCTTCTTTCTTCAACCTACCGACGACTGTCGCTACCCGTCCTCTCTCTTTCCATGTCAACCGCTCTTCAGCACTAGCCCACTACCTCAGAGAATAATATTCTCCATTGCATAGATCTTTTGATATTAGAGAAAACACGTATGAGGTTGTTCACAGGTTGCTATGAAATCACACGAGCTCATAACCTGGGCACCGCCCTGACCGGCGCCCTTGGCCGGCCGCCGCTGGTAAGGGAAGGCGCCGATCTCCCCTTCGATCCTCCCCCTGACGTCGACGAGCAGGCAGTGGAGCCTGGCCGCCTCGGCCTCGAGCGCGGCGTGGTCCTGGACCTTCTTGGCGAGCTCCTTGTTCATAGCCCTGAGACGGGCCGCCTCCTCCTCCAGCAGCGCCGTGTGCGCCTTCTTCTTCTCCCGGTACTTGCGCACGGCCGCCTGGTTGCCCGACGGGCGGCGCCTCTTGCTCCTGGAGGTGACGTGGGCGTCCTCGAACTCGGCCGGGGTCTCCGCGCCGGCATCGGAGGAGGCGGAGGCGGCGATCTTGGAGTGGACGTGGAGGCAGGTGTGGGTGTGGGTGCAGCACGCAACCTGCTCCGTGTCCATGAGGATGCCGTCGAAGTAGCTGCCCATGGAGGAGCAGTCGAGGTTCCCGTCGTCCATGGCCGCGATTAGCAGCAGCTCGCCTTGGAGACGCTTAATTAAGCCGTGCTCACGTGCTGCTTGCGTGCAATTCTCGTTTTATTTTTCAGAAAGGTGTCGACATGATGAGAAATACTGCAACATGGTACCAGGAAGAATCCCTCAAATGATTAACAAAAAATATGGACCAGAAGTAGCAACCGACTTTTATCTATACATTCGCCTTTTTTCAGAGGAAAAAGAGCCGGTAGGGAATGTTAGTGAGAGGGAGGTGATAAATGCCTGCCATGCTCCCGCAGCCACCGTGCCTGTGCCACCGACGTCGTCACACCACCTGAACCGATGCAGCCGCGCACCCGAGAGCATTGCCGCCACAAGGTCGCGCCCGCGTGGACCTCACCACACGTCACTCATCTCCCATACTCCTCCATGAACCATCGTCGTCGTGCATGCCTATCATATCGGCACACAGTGGCGGAGCTTGAGCGCCATTCTTTGAGTGGAGATGGGTTGGGGAAGATAAAAAACAAGATTTTGGCCAATTTTCATTTGTTATCTGGGGTAGCCCAACAAAAATCTCCTAGACTAGAGGGCGGAGTATGGTGATACAAATCTTTTAGTGGGTTTGACGAATATTTGCAAACTGGAGGAGGAATCGTGAAGAACACTAAGACCTAAGAACTAGAGGCTAAACACAAACAAACACAAGGACACAAGCAAGGTTGTCAGAATCGCGATTTTGAATTGAATCCGAGCTCCGATATGGTAGTATCGTAAATCGTAGAATCTTAACTATCAGGATCGTAGAAATGTAGATTCTATTGACTAAAATTGTAGAATCGGATGGGTTAGTTTGGATCATAAAGTCATAGAATCTTATACAAGAATCGTGATTCTAACAACCTTGGACACAAGTAGCATTCACTCAAGTGTTGGGTAAGTAGTTCTTAATTTATGCTTTGTGTGCAAGTAGTACCCAAACAATCCAGGTGAATCTGCCACGACGGACCAAGTGTTGGGGTCTGCGCGGGTTGACTTCGCGGTAGGCGACGGCAACATGAGGGCCCCGACAGTCCAGGACGATTTCTAAAATGCGTGTCACTTTCTAAATGCATGTCACTTTCTAGGTAATTTTATAGATTATTTACATGGAAATATTTTCGTAGTCTAGGTAATTTTATAGATCATTTACCACCTCTCCGTGAAAAGGATCACACTCTAAGGCATCATATGGTTGAATCACTTGTGAGAGAATTCGTGGAAATGATGAGGCTGGTGGACCTTTGGATTCCACTATGGGGCCATTTTGGCATGTTAGTCAAGGTTCTATGCCGCCAACAAGCAGGCAAGATAGTGACAAGACACTCTGAAGCAATTTAATAAGGTGTCATATTGAGAATAATAGAGTTAAAGGTGAGAAGCCTACAATACATATGACAAAAAGAAATGAAGCCAGACTCAGAAAGACGAAAGCAGACAATGCACGCCTTGATAAATCATATGATAAACAAGATCGATCTCATCATAAGTGTCAAGTGTGGGAAATAGGGAGAATGGTCAAGTTGCACCATTGCCCATACACTAGTAGAAAACGAGAAACTAGTCCCGATTTCAGAGGGCCTTTAGAGCCGAGTCTGCAACCGGGATAAAAGGGTCGGGCTAAAGCCCAAAACCTTTAGTCCCGGTTTGCTTACGAACCGGGACAGAAGGGGCTCCACGTAGCCGCTGCGGGGCGTCCAGGCGGGAGGACCTTTAGTTCCGGTTGGTAACACCAACCGGGACCAAACGGTAGCCACACGTCAGCAACTCGCAGGCGCTGGGTTTTTGTCTTTTTTGAAAGGGGGGTTTAGGGGTTTTGGAGGGTTAATTTAGGTGTTTCATATTGTGTTAGCTAGCTAATAAAGAGAAGTGACCTCTCTTTCTCTGTGCTTGGTCGACGCTAGTTACTATACGTATAGAGAGAACTCGACGCGCTAGCTAGTAAGCAAATGAAGGAATCATTAATTACACAAGATCGTCATGAACATATACAGAGAGAAGTGACCTCTCTTTCTCCGAGATTGGTCAAACAACAACGTTTCGTATATCTATCCGACGCTACTACATATATACAATATAACATCTCTTACAATCCCTAACATCTAAGATCCATTTCAACTTCCACATGGCATTCTTCGTCTTTATGTATGACGTGGTCAAGAAACAATCCCGCCAATTCCTCTTGAATTGCTCGAATGCGATCATGTGGTAGGAGTTCATCCCGCACCTGTCATAACTAATTCGAAAAAGGGGGTCAATACATATATATGAATAAAACTCAACACAATTGATGGTAATAAAACAAAATTGTGAATATTGTTTACGTACTTCATATTGTTCGTCAGAGTAGCCCCGCTGAGAGGTCGAGTTGTAGATGAACTCGCAAACGTAGTATCCATATAAATTATTCTCGCCTTCCTGCCACAAGCACTTTACGAGAAATAGAGTTCAATCAAACTGATAATCAAGCATGATAAATGGTATTGATGAAACTAGAATCAATGAGAGATGCGCGGAACTAGCTAGTACTACTTACTTTGGGGTGTGTAAATCGCAGCTCCCTCTGCAGACCCGGAACCATTCCAGTGAACTTTTTCCAAACCCCGCCAGACAAAGGAAATGATTATTTGATATCAACAAATGAACGAAAGTTGCCGATATGGTGTGATAATGATCGATTGAACTTACTTCTGGAGCATTGCATTCATGTCCGCATAATCCTGGGGATCTTTACGTCTCGAGTCTAAGGCAGTTACCATTCCCCGGTCAAGCTTAATCTCTAACAGAATAAAGTGGAAGCTGCGCATACATAACTCATCAATTACATTACTATAACCTCAAGTAAGCGAAACCGAATATGCACAAGACAGTAATACTCACTTGAAATTGTAAGGAAAGAGTAATGTAGCAAGTTGTCCTCAGTATCTTTGGCTCTCTTTTTAACCGACCATTCATTTACAGTATTTGGGTTAATGAACCCAATGTCATAGATTTGTCCTTTTGCATTCGATGATCTTCAATCTGCATAATATAGTGAAGATAATTATATATACATGCAATTAAAGAGTTGAGCTATAGAGACTTAATTACAGAAGTAATACTTACAGACAGTAGCAAGTCATGAGTTGTTTGTCGAGGGCGTCTTGATTGAATAACTGAAATAACTCCACAAAATCAACAGGCAGCAACTCAACTCCAATGAGGTCGTGCTCATCTTTAATTCTCACCATCATACTATCCTTCCCAGAGTTCCTGCAGGTATCCATGTATCATTCATGCAATCTTCGCATCATCGTTGTTAGAGGAGGATGATCAGGTTTGACAAGAGGCTTCCCATACTCGTATCTGAAGATCTTTGCTACCTCTAACGTTTCAAACTCTACATCATCACTCGGGTAATCACCAATATTGGTACCGGGCACTAGCCCCGGATGATTAGCGACGATATCGCTAGACACCTTGAGCGAGGGGCGCGATTGTTTCGCCTGTTTGCCGAGCTGGGGAATTGTTTTCCCACTTCTTCGTTGTGCTAATCTTGCATCACTGGAAGTACTTCCGGACTGCCACGCATCTTCATATGTCTTTTTAATATAGCGGACATAGTTGGAATCCGGCGGAGGCGGTGGTGGTCGCTTCAGGGCATCCAGAGTGTGCTTCGCTTTCACCGGATCTATCGTTTCCTTCGGAGGTGGAGGTTTTCGTTCAAAATGGGCCTGCACTTCGGCAGCACAAATGGTCCGTGTTTTCCTCGTCGGTCCTCTCATATGGTAATTTTGGAAGAGGCTTCAGGCTTGGACCAAATTTGTATTTCTTCCCGCCTCTTGTATTGCTAGCCGCCGAAGCGGCGGCGTCTCTCTTCCGCCGTTGCTGACGCGATGGAGTCCGCTGACACGCCGGAGGAGGTGGAGTGCCCTCACGCACCGGAGGAGGCGGAGAAGGAGGCGGAGAAGGAGGCGGAGTGCCCTGATCACTCGCCGGAGAAGGAGGAGAAGGCAGAGTGCCCTGACTTGCTGGAGGAGGAGGAGGAGGCGTCCAGTTTGGAAGCTTGATGTACTCCTTCCTCCATAGACGGGTACTCCTTAAAGCATAAACCAGATGATTCTCCCCTTCACCTCTAGGGTAGTCAAGCTCCAGCTCCTCAAATCCCTCCATCATTTCATCCATCGTCACAACAGCATAGCCATGTGGAATCGGACGATAATGAAAAGTTCCCTCAGTGCTACTTCTTGAGCTTGTGTTGGTTTTTCCCTTGAAGATGAAAGGGTGATGCAGCAAAGTAGAGATAAGTATTTCCCTTAATTTGAGAACCAAGGTATCAATCCAGTAGGAGACAACACACAAATCACCGAATACCTGCACAAACAATCAAACAACTTGCACCCAACACGATAAAGGGGTTGTCAATCCCTTCACGGTTACTTGCAAAAGTGAGATCTGATAGAGATAAAGTAAATATTTTTGGTATTTTTGGTTTATAGATCAGAAAGTAAAAGATTGCAAGAATAGTAAATCGGAAACTAATATTGTAGATCGGAAACTTATATGATGGAAAATAGACCCGGGGGCCATAGGTTTCACTAAAGGCTTCTCTCAAGATAGCAAATAATACGGTGGGTGAACAAATTACTGCCGAGCAATTGATATAAAAGCGCAAAGTTATGACAATGTCTAAGGCAATGGTCATGAATATAGGCATCACGCCCGTATCAAGTAGACCGAAATGATTCTACATCTACTACTATTACTCCACACATCGACCGCTATCCAGCATGCATCTAGAGTATTAAGTTCATAAAGAACGGAGTAACGCATTAAGTAAGATGACATGATGTAGAGGAATTAACTCAAGCAATATGATGAAAACCCCATCTTTTTATCCTCGATGGCAATAATACAATACGTGTCTTGCTGCCCCTACTGTCATTAGGAAAGGACACCGCAAGATTGAACCCAAAGCTAAGCACTTCTCCCATTGCAAGAAAAACCAATCTAGTTGGCCAAACCAAACCGATAGTTCGAAGAGAATTACAAAGATATCAAATCATGCATATAAGAATTCAGAGAAGATTCAAATAATATTCATAGATAAGCTGATCCAAAATCCACAATTCATCGGATCTCGGCAAACACACTGCAAAAAAGTATTACATCGAATAGATTTCCAAGAACATCAAGGAGAACATGGTATTGAAAATCAAAGAGAGAGAAAAAGCCATCTAGCTACTAGCTATGGACCCGTAGGTCTGTGGTAAACTACTCGCGATTCATCGGAAGGGCAATAGAGTTGATGTAGAGGCCCTCTGTGATCAAATCCTCCTCTGACAGGATGCCGGAAAAGGTCCCTAGATGGGATCTCACGGGTACATAAGGTTGCGGCGGCGGAAAAGTGTTTTCGTGGATGCCTCTGTTGGTTTGGGGATATATGGGAATATATAGGCGAAAGAATTAGGTCAGGAGGGTCATGGAGGGCCCACAAGGGTGGGGGGCGCGCCATACCCCACTGGGCGCACCCTCCGTCCTTGTGGCCGCCTTGTGGTTCCTCCGACTTCATCTCCAAGTCTCCTGGTTGTCTTCTGGTCCAAGAAAAATCATCGCGAAGGTTTCATTCTGTTTGGACTCCGTTTGATATTCCTTTTCTGCGAAACTCAAAAACAAGGAAAAAACAGGAACTAGCATTGGGTTCTAGGTTAATAGGTTAGTCCCAAGAAAAATATAAAATAGCATATTAATGCATACAGAACACTCAAAACAGATAATATAATAGCATGGAACAATCAAAAATTATAGATACGTTGGAGACGTATCACTCAGCTTCAGGAGGTACAACAGAGCCGACCGCCACCTTCAAAGTCAGGTTCTGGCATTTCCTAATTAGCTCGCAATGTTCAGCCTCAGTAATACTATCCACGGGGTAGCGAGGAGCCGTGAAATCAGGTTGAACAAGTTCCTTGGAAGCCACACTGCTTCTCCGCTGAGATGGTGGGGTAACTTCTGGGGCAGCGTCGAAGCAAGGATCTTCGTGCCGCTGAGATGGTTGGCCGGTAGCTCGCTGGCTCTCAAGTTCCTCTAGCTTTGCTATTCTTGCATTGAGCTTCTGCATTTCGCTCGCTTCCACTTTCCTCTTTCTCTCGGCTTCTGTAACCACCGCTGTCGGGAAACCCATGCACCCACGAAACGGAGCCTGGTGTGCCTCATGTTCGTCCAGGGTGCTCAGGATTCCCGAGGGCCTCTGTCAGTTCATCCTTCTCTCTGTCGGGAATGAACGTCCCTTCCTGCGCTGCCTTGGTATATTTCTGAAGCTTCGTGATGGGTATTGCAAGTTGCTCGTCCGTTCAAACACACTCCCCTATTTCTGGGTCCAAAGTTCCCCCATTCCGAAAAACCAAGTCCTTGAACGATCTGGCCAGTGCAATGTCGCTGGTTGAACCCTTTAGCAAGCAGGTCTTGCTCAGCTTTGTCCCACAACGGCCGAGCTTTACAGTAGCCACCTGACCTTGGCGGACAAGTCAGTCGGGTAGGAAGGCTCGGAGCAGGAGATGCTCATAGCAATCGAGAAGGCTCGGAGCAGGAGATGCTCATGGCAATCGAGAACATGGAATGAGAGTGGTGGTGACCTAAGCATCCATGTGAGTCAGGGAGGGAGCCATGTGAGTCAAGGTGGAAGGCAGGTGTCCACAACGATTGGGAGGAGAGAGCAATGGTGGTGGTGACCTGAGCAGTGAATCGGGGAGGAAGTCTCGAATTTGGAGGTACTCATGGCGATTAGCAGGAGAGCAGCAGAAGATCAAGATCTACATGTGACTGAGAATAGGAGAGATGCCACACAAGGTTGTATAGATCTACTAGAACAAAAGTGAATCTTGGCCACTAGACTAGGACATGCATTTGTTTACAGGTACTCCCTCTATTCCAAGATTCAAAGATTCAAGGAAAACACAAACGTTTCTATGTTTGACCAATTTTATGGGGAAAAAATCAATATAAAATACTAAATCAGTAATGATAGATTCATTATGGAATATTTTTTTTTCTATTTCATTTTATTTGGTACTACAGGTGTTGTTATTATTTTCTCTACAAACTACTCCCACTGTAAACAAATGTAAGATGTTTTAGGTCACTATTCTTACATCTGTTTAGAGAGGAAGTAACTCATACTTAGAAAAGTTAAAACTTTTGAAGAGAAAAATACACCATTTTGGTAAAAAGAGACGGCGTCTTTTCTGTGAATATTGAACCGCTTCTGCAGAGGTTACTTTGTACAAATACTACATCATGGCACACAATATTCCCTCCCTTATATAAGATAAAATATCAAAACAACGAAGCGATGACGGAATCCATGCGATTGCTTTGATCATGGGCACGGTGTACAACGCAAACACAACGGGCATAACGAAAGAATTGATGCAGCTCATATCCAACCTGAGGTCTACCCAAAACTGAACATGCAATCTTCGCACAAAACCTGGGTGCTGAAATCTAAATTATTCAAGATACCTTCAAACGCGGTCTGTTCTACTAATTATCAGCGAGCATCTAGGACTAGGAGCGAACGCTGTCCAACTCCAAGGACAACACCGAGGCTGGAACTAAGCAACAATAAAGGGATGTCCTGATAGCATCCTAGCCAACAAACTTGTGGCGCCCCAGGCACCATAGAAGGCATCATCGGCAACAGAGCCACAAACATGACAGTTCGAACCAAACACGGCCCTCTGGTAGAAGCCAGCAATTTATACAGTCCTCGTACGGGGAAGCCAATAGTCTCTCGCAAGGAGAAGACAAGCACCTCAGAGTCCTGAAAAAGAAGCAATAGAATGTGTTAACTCAGCCCTGAAACAATCGTTAGCATCGACTTTAAGTTGCTTCAAAAGACAGAAACGATGAGGACAAATAAATTGCACATGGTACCTGATCTAGATAAAAGCCACACATTATAGCAACTCGGAAGTACTGGATACACCTAAGAACTATTGGTACAACATAGAATTATTGCAGACATTGGATGACTTTTTAGTTTCAAGACTAGGGATGAACAAAAGTTGCATCTAGTAACAGAATCATGGAGGCACTACTCCACTATATGCTGTTATCACTTATCAGCATAGCATACCTATTGACAAGTGGAGAATCAGGTGCACATATTGATGAAAGCCCTGCACCAATGTCCACTATACAACAACCTAAAGTAAATCAAAAGTATGGAAAGGCTGGTGCATCATAACGTACACGGTCAAGTCCCCGAACTAAGTTTCTGATTACAAAACCAGAATTTACTACTAGCGCATCTAAAATGATCAGCTCTGAGAGAAGATTGTTCCGTGAAGACTAGCGATGCTAATATTAAGCACCTGGGAAAAAGAACTCTTCATAATAACACAAAACTTTCAGGTGGTGCTACATGAGAAACTGTTTGTAGTTTGAAACTTTGTCCAAAAACCTTGAATCATAGGAATTATGAATTATGATTTTTGGAAATATGCTACACACTGAAAGCAGTGCACAGGTGGCAGCTGGAATATTTGAGACAGTAACAGTATTTTCACTGGAGACATTTCTAGCAACCTAAATGAACCACCAGTGGTACTGATTTTTATGAACACAAACTAATGCAGATTATTGTTGTGAACAACCTAAACTATGTGCTTGTAGTTTCGGACTTTCAATATCAATTGACACCAAAGATGACTATGATCAGAAAGATAGATGGAAATGCATAATTATTGTTTGTCACAATCGGTCTGTGATAACCAATGAAAAAAATAGCGCGTTACAGCAAAATAGCGCCGACCTCAAAATATGCTATTAGCGAGACATTGTACACTAACATATTTAGCGAGGCAATTCTCAATACGCTATAGCGCGCTATTTTTTTCAGTGGTGATAACTGAAAAGTTAAGCAAGCAGCCAAGCACAATTTGCACACAAACCGCACTGCTAATTAATTTCTAATAAAACCACATGATTTTTTTTCATTAAAAAGAATGTTGTGCAAACCAAATGAAACAGTTGTTTAGATAGATCTAGTATCAGTCAAATCTACAGTAGCCTTAAGAAAAGCAGTAGACATCCAGCCAGAGACATATCACTGACTATATAGGTAGATAACAGGGCCAGGATCCTATAGTTAAGCCAAAATAACTAAGACACCAAGTAGCCAAATCAAAATCTGCCCATTTGCAGACTTGTTCAGAGTTTGGACATACTAAAACATATTTAAAGTAAATTGATGCTGCTAAATGTAGAAAATTTGGCAAAAGACAAGCATAACTAACCTCGACCTGTTTACAGCATTTGGCCCCCACGGCAGCCTGGGGGGTTTAAAGAACCTGGTTTTACGCAGCCCATAGAGTCACCGGCACCTTGCCCCAAAACCTGGCCACTCATGACACCGTCGTCCTCCATTGTCCTGGCCTGCTGCATTCCTGGATTGCAGTACAACTGATCGTTGCATCTGAAATCACAGGAATTCATAACCTGAGCACCACCAAGGAAGCTCCCCTGGTCGACAAAATCGTTGCCTTTCACCGTCCGCTGGTAAGGGAAGGTGCCAATCTCCCCTTCGATCCTCCCTCTGATGTCAACAAGCAGGCAGCGGAGCCTGGCGACCTCGGCCTCGAGCGCGGAGTGGCTCTGGAGCTTCTTGACGAGCTGCTGGTTGACGGCCTTGAGGTGAGCCACCTCCTCCTCGAGCAGCGCGGTGTGGGCCTTCTTCTTCTCGCGGTACTTCCTGACGGCCGCGCGGTTACCGGAGGGCCGCTGCTTCTTGCTGGCGCCGCCGCCGCCCTCCGGCAGCGACTCGGAGGTCTCGGCGGCGTCATCGGAGGCGGAGAGGATCTTGGTGTGGACGTGGACGCAGGTGTGGGTGTGGTGCGCCAGGTCGTGGACCGGCGGGTTGCAGGTGTGGGTGTGCGTGCAGGCGAGGTGGTCGGCGTCGCCGTTGAGGATGTCGTCGAAGTAGGTCCCCATGGAGCAGCTGGCCGGCGGGTCGTTGCCCATGGCCTCGCACAGGAACGTCTCCGGGTTGGAGAAGTCGATGTCCCCGTCGTCCATGGCTGGCCTGGCCGCAGGGGGCCTAGCACCTGCTACCAAGACCTGCAAACAGGGCAGAGCAGCCGCCTCAGACGCTCATCTCGGCACCGAAAATTCAGAGCTTTTTCTATAAAAGAAGAACAAAAATTCAGAGCAACGAACAACAGAGATTCGTTTAACAATAACAGAGATTCAGGGCAAATTGGTACTCCTAATTAACGAGCTGCTTCGCCTACGATTGTTCCTCCGTCCGTTGACCGATTGGGGGTTGGGGGGCAACGGACGCCGCGGCGGGAGGTAGCTAGACGGCGCGGGCGCCCGGGCCGCGCGCCGCCGGCGACCGGCCGATCCGATCTCGGCGGGGGG